GACCGGTTGGGGCCCCCCCCCCCCCCGCCGCCGCGTGGGAATCGCTCCCTCCCAGCTCCTGCGGCTGTTTGGGGCGGCTGTGCAAAGGCAGCCTCCGCTTACTCACCCGTCTTCAGTGCGGATGAGGCTCCAGCCACACAACTGCCTCTGTCAAGCAAGGGAATTCATCAGTTCTTGTGAAGTGGCCTTGGATCGCTGGGCAGCAGGTGCGTCTGTAGAGCAAACTGTTGCTGAATATTCAGCAGTCGCTACACAAGCGGCTGGCCCGTTGCCTGTGAGGCCCTTGGAGATATCTTGAGCGTCCGTTTAGATAAAGTGCAGAGCGCTTACTGCTGTACTGCCACCAACACAATATAGCTGTGCGTGGTGCTTTAATATAATATTCTTTTATTTATTTTTTAATGGCAGTCTTCAAGATCATAAGCAGCAACTTGATCTTTTTTGACTCGGCCAGCAAAGAAGGGAACTGTCTAGCAGAACTAGAAACGCAGTGATTCATATTCAGATTGTCAGAGCCTCTTGCTCATAGTGGTTTAGGCTTGCGCCTGAAATGCACTCGAACACAAATGACTCAGGACAGAAATGTCTCATAATCTTTAACATACTGCTTAGACTCAAGAGTTAGCTCTTTTAAGGCTAGCTGAATAGCGCTTGTTCTTGCCGAGCTCTCATTTGGTACACGCAGTACTACGGTTATCTAAACTATGAAGGAATAAATTGAGAGGTAAAGTTCTGCCCTGAACTTCTTTGAGTTAACTCCCTGAGGTGTGGTCCGTGAGCAGCTTGCGCTGGATGGCAGCGTTGGAAGCACGGCGCTGCGCGAAACCTGATCGCTCGGAACGATTGCAGATTTAAATATCTTGCCGTGCAGTCAGTGATGTATGGATGCCTGTGTTGTTCAGCAGTGATGTGCCCCAATTCTGACGACTTGTGGTAGATTCTTAACCTGTGTAACCCTTCCTTTTAAGGGACTTTGTCTGTTTTCTTCTACTGGTTATTTAGGCCACAGAAGGAAAACTTTCTGTAATCCACTAAATGTGCAATTGTGACGGTTGCACTGAAGACTGCAGCTTCCCTGAGGGAGCTGGAGAGACCTGGTGGTGTTACGCGAGGCCCGTGCGCTACAGCATTTCTATGTGCATCAAAGACTTCCTTGGGACTGGAAACACTGCATTTCTACCAGGGATTCTTCATTCCTAACCTGTATCTTGAAGCTTAACAGCTAAGCCCATCGTTCCCACCTACAGAAAGCAGTCCTGCAGGCTTCAGTGCAGCGGCTGTCCCCAGTCCTGGCTTTGGCACGTCGTGCTGAAGCTGTGATTGTTAGCACGGGCTGTGGGTGGACCCTGGGCCCTTGGAGTATGCCAAATCTCCCAGTGCGGCTGCTGGAGCTGAGCCTTCCTGGCAGGGCTGCCTTTCCCATGCCTTGCTTTGAGAGCGCTGTCGGCGCTGGGCGTGCGTCCAAGCAGGGGTCTTCACGCGGTTTGGCTGCCCGGTGCTCAGGCAGCTGAGATGTGCTCCCCAAACGCACGGTGTGTTTGCACCAGTCTCTGGGGTAGACGCCAGACCTGCGGAGAAGAGGGGGGCCAGCAGTCCAGGACGCGGTGTACCACATGGTGGCCTGTCCTCCCGCAGGCTGAGGCCTGGAGGTGGCTGAGGGGTATGTCCCTCCTCTTCTGCTTGAAGAGCCTGGGCCCGCTGAGCTCCTTCTGCCCCATCCCCACCAGGCTGTGGCTGCCTGTGGCACAAGGGAGGACCATCTTCCAGGGGGACTCCAGGGCTCACAGTGAGGCATTTCAATAGCTGTAAAGCAGGTGTTCAGGCTCACACTGGGTCACTGCCCCAAAGAGCTTGTCCCTTTTTTTTTTTTCCCACAGGGCTTGGAAGTGGAAGTTTAGGAGCAGAAGAATAATTGCACTTCAAAAGGAGACTCCGTGGTGTTAAGCAGCTTGGATACAGCACCTTCTGTACTGCAGCTATAAATCAGTGCTCCGAGAAAGTAAACATGAGAAGGTTAGGTAGCCAAAAAGTAGTAGGAAAGAAAAATGAGCCCTTAGCCCTTAGAGATGATGCATATTTAACTGCTTTTAGACTTTTTTTTTTGAGAGCCTCCAGGCTGCTGCTGTTAGAAAAAGCAAATGTGTGGTGTTACCTGCAGGGAGCAAAAAGGGAGTCTTTCATGCTCTTCTTGACCTTTACTTTCTTGTGTTAATTTGTTTAATACCAGTGAGATTTGGCTGCTGTAAAGGCTTATTTAAGCAAAGGCTTCTCTAAGACCTTCAGAAAAGCTAATTGGGAGGTAGTGCTGGGGCAGGAGTTGTTTCTTTTTCCCCTTCTTGACTTGTGAACTTTTAACTCGGGGATCTGCTGCCTGTGCAGTGCCTCTCTCTCCCCTCTTGGATCAGACTTTTACCAGCTAGTGCACTTCTGCAGTGGCAGTCAGGATTTAATTGCATGCAACTTTTCAGATATCTACTCCAAGTATGTACCTAAAGATAAAGGCACTGCAGGCAGAGCTGTCCTTTTGACTGTTTGGGTATTCATCAGTTAAATAGCTTGTGGGAGGAGCAGGGGTTCTTTTGAATTCCTTAAGCCTCAATACACAAGGAATGTGCACAATCATATAAATCGGTATTTCAGGGAAAAAATGGGAGATGAGACCTGCATTTCTAGTAGCAACTGTTGCAAACCTTAAAAAGCTGCAGCTTCTGGCTGGTTCTTTTCACACTAAGGTGAAAGAGAAAAGGAAAAATTGCTGTCATCAGCACAGGGCATCACCAGTTGAGTAAAAGGAGATTTTTCACCTTCTGGGGCTCTAGCAAAGCTGTGTCTGCTGACTCCGTGCTGGAGCTGGTTGCATGTTGGAGGCCACAGAGGAAGACTTGAAGCCGCGTCACATGCTGAAAGCAGTGTCTCTCCCGCAGCGTTCCCACAAGCCTGCTTGCGGGACCAGGAACGCGCTATGGTGCGAGGCAGCTGGTGCCTCGGGACTGCTGGGCAAGGAGGGAGGCAGGGTGACAAGTGGACCTCAACGCGAGATATTTCCCTGAATAAAGTGCTTCAATGCTTGTGCCAAGAAGCTAAACTTTAAATGCATGGTTGTCTTAACTTGCTGGCAATACTTCTATTGTAAAAGTGCGTGTGGAGGTAGCTGGTGAGGCTGGGAGTGCAGATGTGAGTCACTGCGATGGCAAAACTCGCTGGGTAGCTGCCAGTTCCCTGTGTTGTGCTAGATGGGAACTGCAGCGTTGCATTGCCACGTATCAAACGGAGGACAGAGAATAAGATCTTGTGCTTTATTTTTTCAATTAAGAATTTTTATTTATCCCTCAAGGACATGAAAATGGAAAACAGCTTGTCTTGGCTATTGGAAATCTTCATGGGGGAAGAGGAGGAGGGGGGAGACCAGCAGCAAAAGCAGTGTTGCAGTGCTGAGAATGACGTCTTAGTTGAGTCAGTGCTTAATCAAGGCACGTGGTTCCAGGAAGTGGAACAGATGGCTTTGGGTTTTTTCTGCTCTCTTATATCTTTGTTGTTGCCAAGATCATAAATGTTTTAACACCTACCAACTTCTTCCCCCCCCCCCCCCAGTATAGATTTTACACACACATGCAGACACGCACAAAGATCGAGTAAATTGCTACAGTAAATTACCTGGCTTGCTTTTGTGTAATCCACAGTATCGGTGCAACTGAGAGTTGGTCCTATGACTAGGTTCTTACAAAGGATGCTTCTTTTTAGATTTAAAAAAAAAAAAAATCTGTGAGGATATTTATTACTCCCACTGCATTTGGAGAGTAAATTAGGGCAAAACCGACTACATTTTATAGTTGGGTTTTGTGTCCCTATCCTGTAGAAGAGACAGTAGGTCAAAGAGATGTAGTATTCAAGGCCTTATGGGAGAAGCAAGCTACCTCGGAGGCTTGCAGGATCTGGCCTTTGTAAAGCGGGCCAGGCTTTTTATTTTATGGCTTTTATTTAATGTCAGTCATGTTTATCCAGACAACCAGAGAACTGGTTATTGCTGCTCCTGTTTCCTCTCAGCTGCCTTGGAGGGTGAGCTGAATTGCGTCCCGATTCTTCTTTTCCAGGGCAGTGAAATCCAGGACTGCATCTACTTGGACAGCGAAAGCGCCTACAGTGAGTCAGAGCTCTTTCCTGATGAAGACACGATGACTCTAGCACAGCAAGAGCTTCACCATGAGTCTGACATGGACAGCGCTATTGAGAGCGCTCAGAGCTCAGAGGCCTCTGATGTGTGTCGGAGCGAGGAAAAGGACAGTGTGCTCGGTGGCCTCTTCCTGCCTGGTGACAAGTGAGTGGTGGTTTTGCCCCTCGGAGGCCCTGTTTTGAAGCATGCCTCAAAGGATGAGGGAGGAAGGAGCCTTTATTTGGCTAATCCCTCCTGCAGGAGCCTGAGGATGGTTGAAGGTTTTAAAAACCTAATATCCATGTAAAATATAAGAGATGGATGTCCAAATCCTGTAAGTGGCTTAGGTGGTCTCGGTCCTGGCCCCTTCTGGCCATTTGGTGAGCACCCGTGGAACTTGCAGGTTATGTGCTGAAGAGAAAGCGCTGGGCCGTCCTTCCCCAGAACGGATCACTTCATTGTCCCCACCCTAAATTTAGGGTCTTCTGTGTTCCTGAGCCCTCTATATACTGGGATTAAAATATGACTCTCCCGCAAAGCAACACAACATGGGGAACGTTGCTTTCGCCTTTTGTCCATCGAGTTATCTGAAGATGTGGGCTCTACTGATGTGTTTTGCTTCTCCATGTGCCAATTTAATTCTGTGTGTTTCTAATTTTCCATGACCTTTAGCATGCAGCAGTAACTTGTATTTAACACAGGGTGTCCTGGCATGTGTATGTGTATAACCCTGGCTTGCTGTTAACGCAAGAGCGTCTCTATAATCCTAACCTGAATCTTCGCAGGGGTGTATGGGGGCGGGAGGGTGGTAGTGGTAAAAGCCAGCTGTGGGAGGAAGGGGCCAACTTGATTTACTCCTGCTTTGAACTGAGTTAACGCCATACCACAGGACAGAGCTCAGCTAGGCCTGCTCCATAGGCCTCTGCCCTGTCTTCCCTATTTTTGACTTCTCATCTTGGTTTGTGCCTCTTGAGCTTCTTTCCCTTGATAAGAACAGCCTCGTTGGGGGCTCTGTTCTGTCCTGTTCCCAGCCTCTTCCCGAGTTTCTCAGCCAGCTTCTTATCCCACCAGCGATGCCAGAGACTCTATCAAGCTAATTCCGGTTTTCACCAGCTCTTTGTCAAATTGTCTCCTTCTCCTGCCATTCCCAATTCCGCTAGGCACCCATCCTCGCAGTGACCGACTTTGCCCACATTGCTTTTGAAGTGGGTATATTTCCTCCAGCCTGAGCAATTCAGGCTCTTGTGGATGAGGGAGGGCACTGTGCGTCCTGTGGCCCCCATCTAGGGGGCCCAGGGTCGCTAAGAGCTGTAAGCGTAGAGCAAATCTTGCTCTATTTTCTGAGACCTACTCAATTTTGGTAAATCTTTGGGGAACTGTTTGGGAAGCTTCATATTTTTGTACTAAAGGACATAATGCAGACTTCAATCTTGGCCAAACTAGGATGCCTGCTTGTTGAAGAAGTGGATGGGCTGGGTGTCAGCCCTCTGCAAAGTCCTGCTCTCAAGAACAGGAAATAATTTTAAAAAGATTTTTAAGCCTCCTTTAGAAAGTGTTAGAATGGGAAAAACAGCTGCTTTAGCAGCTCCCTTGAAAATGACTGAGCAATTCCTAGAAAGTTTCCAGCCTGAGGCTGATCATGAATTCAGGATCCATCCTGAAACATGGACTGTTCCAACCCAAGCGGTTTGAAGTTTGGCAAAGCTTATGACTGACCACAAATTAAAAGTTCAGAGCAACATTACCAGGTGGGTCAAGCAGTGGTGATTATTTGCAGTGTAGCTGCCCTAAGAAAACATGATTTGGGCTCTAAAACTTAGTGAGGTAGTACATGAGAGGGAGTGAACTGCTGAGCCCCAGCCTGCTGGTAAGCAGTGCTGTTCCCAGGCTACGCTCAACATGGGTTTTATTGACTGTATGCTTTATCACCCCAACTGAGGACTAGTCACTAGCCTCCCTCCCTTGTGGTAGTTGTTGCAAGGAGCTTCTTCCTAAATTGGCTTTGTGTAACAGTACTGAGATGAACATAGCAGTTGCAGTTACACAGATCATAGTCACCCAAAATCTTCATCAGTACATAGCATGCCAGTGGCACAGCAGCTCTTTTATTAATAGGTGTTACTGTGATACATACAGCTTCTCACTAATCCATCTCCCAGCTGGGGAGCCTCGTTAGATAAGTTTGATCTATTTCTAGTATGAGCTTTCCTATCTTCATCATGTAATAATGTGCCAGGCTTGACTTGCCCTAATTTTTGTTAATGTGAATAAGATAAATGAATTGCAGGTTATAAATGGATCTCATCAAAACAGAAGAAACAAAAGAGCGTACATTCGCAGTGTTGGCAGCCTTCATCTTCTACTAATTGCTCTGGAGGGAAGGGATACGCAGATAATGCTTGCGCCATCCACCAAAGGAAAACTGCTGTATCTTTTGTTTACAGCTGTTGTCCCGAGTATAGTATAATAGCAAGAAGAGGAATCTCCCTGTCTCTGGGAAGAGCAGGGCAGCGTTAAGAAGCTCAAGGTAGACTCGGAACACAGAAGCCTAGGACACAATGTTGTTGAGCTGCTGGAGAACATCAGCTAGGAGCTACTGCCCCACAGCTCAGCCAGTGCGGTAGAAGGTACCAGCACAGTGCACTGAAGCAGAGGGAGTGAAAAGTTAACCCAATCTGTACAAAGTTTCAGCAGGTTGAAGTCAGCTGCCTTGTTTGTACTGCAGAGAGTAAGGACGGCCAGATGCAGCTCTGCTGTAGAAACAGTAGCGTGTCAAGGAACTCTAGGGCTTCGCGAACTGAACATGTCTTAGGCCTTAGACCTGTTCTCTGTAGGGAGTAGTTTGTGTGCAAGACCTTGCATGGGAATTTACTGGCTTGTCTATGCGAATAGCTTACTAAGGTGGAAACTGAGTGGATTTGTGTAAAATACCTGCGTCTGCAAGACAGCACGGTACAGGACTGCAGGGTCATCTGCGCTCTGGGTAGGAGAATTACCATGCAGTCCTCTGCAGTGACCTTGCTTTGTTGTGTCAGATAGGATGTGCTCAAACTGCTTTGGCAATCTGCTGGCTACTTTCCTAGAGTGTCCAGCCCTGCTCATCTCTTCGCCTGTATGTCCCCTCACACCCAGAGGGCACAGGGTCCCACTATTTCCTGCCCGTTTGCACTATTTTTAGGTGTTCTTGTGATAATAAAGTGGCCTTTATCCTGTGGCCCATATCTCCTCTGAAAGACTCTTTCCTTTTGCCTTGATGGAAGGAAGGGCAGGGACGCAGCCTTGCTTATAGCGATTCTCCTTTGCAGCTCATCTGGCATATGGTGAGCTGAAGTTTGGTACTGACCACACAAAAAGAGGGGCTGGAGCTCGTGGGGTGGTGGGAGAGGGTTTATGGGGATTACTGGGAAACTCTGACTGTGGAATGCAGTGACTTGTCTCTGTCTTGTACACATCCCTCTCGCTACCCTGTGCATTTTAGAGGTGTCTGCACAGTTCCGGTGTTCAGCACAAAGGTCCCATAAGCAGGGATCTCCACCACCATGTGGACATTGTGACTAAGGATTATTGAGGTGCACTGTCCAAAGTGAGATGGTTTGTGTTGATCCAAACCTGTCTCGCAGGTAGCTTGCTCATAGGTTCTCATACCCTTGTCTTCCAAGGCACTGTGTCAAACACATCAGATAAGGTTATCCCTTGAGGGTTTTTTTTTTTTTTTTTGCACAAAATGGGTTACAACTTCAAGTGATGGGTCAAGCAGAAAAGGTGGAAGGTCCCGTGTGAGGTGAGATGCTATTAAAGTTGGCCTTCCAGATGTTCTGACCTCTTGTTTCAGGTCAAGCCCTCACAACCCTTCTGCAGCATCTGACCTCTCCACCTATTCCACCGCCTCTCTGATCAGTAACGAAGAACAGTTTGAAGACTATGGGGAAGGAGATGATGTGGATTTTACTCCCAGTAGCCCATGTCCTGATGATGAGACCAGAACCAACGCCTACTCTGACCTTGGCTCATCTGTATCTTCCAGGTTGCTCCTTATTCATTAACAAACATTCTGTTCCCTACTTTTTTTGTTCTTCTCTGAGCATGGATGACCATCTCAGAAATTCCACTGGTTACCTAGACTCATCTTAAAAGCAAAATATTTTCGGTTCACATTTTGCACTCTGTTTGACAAACTACATCTAATAACCAAGGCTATCGCAAATATGTTGTTTCTGATAACTGGTTTTGGGTTCCACTGAAGTAACTGGGCTATTTTGCTTGTAGATATTTCTTTCTATTGCAAACAGTAGGTTTCACAGTTGGGAACTAATATTA